AATTGTACAGATAAATCGACGTGAGGTAAGAGAAAAAATACCAAATTCTTTTAGTAAAGTGTTGTGGCTGAAGCCACGTTCAGGGTATATTTCATATGTTTTATAATAAAGATATTTCAGAAATTTTCGCCTTCAGATAACCTTTTCTATCGCATCAGAGTTGTTGATTTGATGAGGATACCAAATGATCGAACCATATTCTAATTTTGAACTTACATTAGAAAGAAAAGAAGTGCATTATTTGAATTGAATTGAATTGTTTAAAATTTCTCAGTATCAAACCTAAAGATTTATGTGCTCTATTGCAAATATCAGTTATATGAACAGTGAAAAACAAACCAGAATCAAATAAAACTCCTAAGTCTGATATTTTATTACATCTATCAATGCTGTTGTTAGAGATTTTATAATCAAAATGTATTGGAACGTGCTTATGTGAAAAACTAAGAATCTTGCACTTTGATATATTTAAATGTAATTTGTTATAGACACACTAAGAGTGAAAAGAGTCAAGCTGAGATTGTAATAAGAAGCAGTCATCAATAGAATTTATTTTGAGATATAGTTTGAGATCATTTGCGAATAATAAAAGTGGACAGCTAATAATTTCAAATATGTCATTAATAAAAATAATAAATAGTAGTGGGCCAAGAATGGATCCCTGAGGAACACCTGAACTGATATTTTCAATATTGCTCAAGAATCCATTAAGATAGACAAACTTTTTACGATTATGAAGATAACTCTTAAAAAAAAATAAGTGAACAATTACGACCAATGTTAAATAATTTAGTAAGAAAAATATTATGATCAATTTTGTCAAGATCTTTACTGAAGTCAGTGTAAATGACATCAACTTGTCTATTAGTGTCAAGATTCTCAGCTATATATTATTTAATACTGATTAAATTCGTAATTGTAGAACGAGCAGGCATGAATCCATGTTCATTAGTAGAAATTAAAGATTTAACAGAAGGAATTAGTTCTCTACAAAAATTTTTTCAAATGCCTTAGCAAAGTTTGATAATAGTGATATCGGCCTGCAATTATAAAAATTTAAGGGCGCGTCCTAAAGACATGCACCGTGCACGTTTTGTATATTCTCATTTGTTTTAGTATAATCGATTAAGTCGATTATTTACACATATCAAGAAGTCATTCACCTTGCCTAAGGGCAAACCGCCACTACCTAGTTAACACATTTTTATAGAACTTATATATTAAGAATTTATCTCCATAATGTTTTTTTATCAAAATCCACAAATATAATAATCAAAACATAATTAATTCAAATGCAAAACTAGTCCTCTAGCCATTAAAAACTCATTATGGCCATTTTAATAAAACTCAAAACTAGTTTCATTATCATCATGTTCTACTAAATGGTAAAAACTAGCATGAATGTTTTAACACAATAGACAATCGTGATAAGAATTATGTATTTAAATCCAAACATTGGGCAATTAATTTTATTTTATTCAAACTTGGGGAAATAGTGAGTAATCATCGTAATCATGATTCGATGCCTCCAAGTGCCAGCAATATTGGTGATGTCAATTTTGTTGACAACTTGCATTAGTCAAGATTTGGACAATGACGAATCGTTACGTCTGATCAAGGAGTATCATGATAAACACGAGAAGCCAACTAAATTTGATCTGACTGTCGATAAATTGGATTTGGTTTATGATTTTATCATCGTGGGAGCAGGTTCTGGAGGATCTTTATTGGCACACAGGTGAGGAGAAAAAAATTAATTAAAATTGCTACAAATTACAAGTTACAATTGAAAAAAAAACTGTACTTGCTACTCTAAAATTAGTTGACCTTTGCGTTTCGTTTCCAGATTATCGGAAAACAAAAACGTAAAAATTCTACTAATAGAAGCTGGTGGTGTCCCCGACTATTTGACCAGAATTCCTATCCTAAACAAATGGCTGTTAAATTCCAAGTACGACTGGAAGTATCGCACTGAGAAGCAAAAATATGCATGTTATTCCACCAATAATGTCTGCGAAATGCCAAGAGGAAAAGCATTAGGAGGTAAAGTATAAATAAACCAGAGGGATAGAGATTTGTCTTCATAGTTGATGCTCTTACTAATATTTATTTCTCTATGGTCTTTTTGATATACAATAAGAAATTATTAGTGGTATATCAAACTCTCTTATTTTATTGATAATTGATGTAGGAGATTCTGTAGTTGCCAAATGTTATTATATATTTAATTTCAGGAAGCAGTGTTATAAACGGCATCAATTACGTCCGAGGAAATCCAAAGGATTATGACAACTGGGCAAAACTTGGTGAGCCACTTTATAAATAAGGCACTGTCTAAGATTTCCTATTGGAAATAATCTAGCTTAACCCTTCTTTGCATGGCAATGAAAATTTCAATCAAAATATTTAGTCAACAAAAAAAGTACTAAAAACCTTTGTACTGTAAATATGTTGTTGCTGGCAACATTTTTGGGAACTATTGCGTACAACAAAATGCAATTAAAAAAAAAGCAAACGTCACTATTAATTACCAGGACTAGAACTTGTCATTTCGCTGGAAACCAATTAAAAAAAATATATCAAAACACTGTGAATAAACTTCTCAAAACTATGTAATGGAAATTTACATCACTATGCAGTAGTTCCACTTGTAATATACGGCAAAGATTTTTTTGTAAATGTTTTTTTTTGTGTTGTTTTTTGAAGAAACAGATTATGATTTGCATAAGTTCTTTGGTATATTATTCTACATGTTAGTAATCAAAATTCCTAGCACAAGATCATACTGGTCGCCAAAGTTCGAACAATAAACATATGGGAGAAGTTGATCTCATCTCATGGATAGCTTTTTGGGCAGAAATCATATAACAAAAAGGTCTAAAAAGTGGTATTTGCATATTTTTTTATCTGTTTGATATAGCTATTATAAATATTTATAAACTTTTGAATTTTATAAAAAATGCTCAAGAAAGAGATGAACGTAAAA